TCTGGACTCCATGAGCGGCTCCCAGCGGGCGTGTGGAGCATCAGACATGGTTGCGGCCCAGCACCTCCACCAGTGTCGCGGTACAACGCGAATAAAACACAGATACACCTTGGGACGACAAAAGCAGCGTGTGCTCAACAGCTGAGCCACAAGATCGTCTTCTTCGGCCTTGAGAGAAGTTAGAGGCCCTCTACCTCGTGCCCACTAAGTGCACCATCATCGTTATCGTCCACATGTAGACACGCGTCAATATATACTTGAGTACTGGACTAAACCAGATGGGAAACACAGCCTCAAATGGGATTCAGAAATGAATTTCTGCAGGCCCAATGAACTGAATGCGCCAAGCCATTTTTTATTAGGTTTAATTTGCATTCGCCTATGCATTGCAAAGCCTGCAAGTGTGTACCACGTTTGAAGAGTATAAGATTCTCGGAATATGTAGGTATAATAAAACTGTGTTGATTTGATGGAAGCATATTGAATTAAAAAGAAAGGAGAACGGTGTATCAGCGACACGTCGGAGACGTCATGCGTATCAAAAAAGAGATTGTTCGATAGCTGAATAGCGTAAGGCTGTGTGAAGACTGAGCATGTCTGCATGTTATTACTTAAGTCTGGGTTTGCGCTTAGTCTACTTTAGTTGGAAGTGCCACATGTGCTTTTCAATGTGTGTTATTTTATTCTGTGTTTTTTAATATTGGTGGTCAAAGTAGGTCATTAAACAAGTACCAACTAGGCCAACAATCAGTCTTGAAACGATGTTGTCGTTGGTTGAACTCTCGAGTTGCCCTGTTAGCCGGAACTACTGAGCACTCTGCGTGTTGTTAGGCAAACCCACTGACAGCGAATAACTTTAGCAACAACTTTACGATAAATATTATTATCATAATTATGAATATTTTATATAACTACTACTAATACCATTCTGTATAGTTTCCTTGGTATCTTTGTTAGTTCTCATTATTATTGTGTCTAACAAAAGAAAAAACGAGTCCTAAATCTTTCACTTCTCTCCCTTATCACTTCATTTGAGTGAGGTGACAAAAAAGAAACAAATAAAGTCTGCATTTTTCCAAATACAACAATATAATACAATAAACAGCTTTAGCACAGCAATACCTACCATTCCAAATGTTTGCCACTCTTCGTGAACATACAGTTGGTGATGTTGTGCCTCCTTTCCGATGAATGACACGATCTGGGGAAGCTGTGATGCTTTTCGCAAAAAAAAAAAAACTATGATGAGCTGCCTTGAATGTTGTCCTTATTTTTCAAGTGGGGCAGACCCAGTAGCCATATGATTTGTACCTGTTCCTCAATGTATTGAAGTCGTCATTTCAACATTATCTTTGTAAAAGGCCTACTCTGTTTGTGCAAGGTAATTGCAGTGATGTTTGTCATTCAAGATCAAGTGAACACTTCCTAGAGATTACTTGAAGTGGTGTATATATATTACTGTTCATTTTACGTTAGTGGCCAGAAGCACTGTAGCATGAACACGAGAGCAACGTTCATACAATGTCCCAACAGCAGATGTATCGCAACACAGGTTCCATTCATCTGGGACACCAGTTAAAAAGTTAGATACTTCATACGTGCACTTTGCAAGAACTTGTTGAAGCAAGCGTATGTATTTTTTTATTTCCTTGCGGATTGAGCTCAGTGCATTTTGATTTGGTGTGGCAACTGATCTCTTGAACATTGCCACTCCAATTGTTTTGCGCTGATGCCACTCAGATATTGAATTTGTACACTTAAAATGTATCATTTTGTGTTGTAAAATTGGGCACTTATACATCCAATAACGTTTCTCATGTCGGGGTTATATTTTCACACGTGACACTGTATTTCTTTGCAGTGACGCGATCGGTGAGAGAAGTCTCTTTTATTCTCGAAAGCACTACATTCTCTTCATTAGGCTTAGTACAAGGAGGGCGAAGATAGAAACAATCGAGCATGAATACCCTTGACGCCCTGCACGTTGAACCATCTTTGAAACCATCGCTTGAACCCATAGCGTACGGTATTCTTAACGCCAACATTTTACCCGCATGAAGAGGTATTTGAAACCTGCCCATACATTTTTCATAACACAATAATTTTACGCACTGGAGTGGCAGCTCTGGCATTTGGCGAAGTGATCACCTATGGTGTTGCAGTAGCTATGGTATTTTTGCTGTTCATGTGCTATTTCGTAACTTTTTTCTCAGCCGCTACGACTGGGATTTGATTCACGTAACGTGATGCATGTTTTGTGAGAATTATACAACTTCATCGAGACCAAGAATGGGTCAGACGATGGGGGGACGGGGTCAAGGAAGATGATGGACCTCCAGGCCATTCTTTGTGGCCGAAAGTCCTTGTGCTTCAGTGATCCTCACGGCCCAGTGTACGATCCAGAGTAGGCATTCCTGTCGTGGGCTGTGCAGAGTAGCCTCCCATCGCTCGTGTCGCTTAGCCCCCAAAAGTGGACATTTGGCTTGTATATGGCATTTTCAATATATATTGTTACGTTCACAGTCGACGCAACAATATGATTTAGATTGGCTCGCGGGCTCGAGCAGCGACGACAAGGGGGGTCAGGTGGACTCATGGCAGGTGCTATTGTGAACTGATCAAGCGAGATGCCAATGTGCCCATTGTAGTAGGCGCCAAACGATTTTCTCTGCCTGAGACAAATATTGGTATGCTGGTGTGTAGTTCTTGAACAAACTGCTATAATAAAAGGTGATTTCATGGTAGGTAATTAGGCATCCCACGCGTTGTGAAAGAAAGGCAGACCATCTACTTTCGGGTGGACAAGTGCTCGAGATAGTGCATGGACGACTGTATTCCTGGGATGTCCTAAATGCGCGGGAGCCTACAAAACAGTGAATAATCATTTAGGAGGACAAACAAAGTGTATACAATATGGTTGACTGGTGCATGAATGAAATACTGTAAGAAAAATACGCATGGCAGTTTTGAGTCTGAGAGTGCATACTTCACTTGAGCATGAGCTTGTTCTTATTCTTGTTAACCTTCTCTTAGCTACTACTGAAGCAATATCAGCCTCTTCTTCTGCCTCGATTGGCTGAACCACTTGGTCAAAAGTGGCGAAACAAAGCATCTTGTGGGCATTATCTGATACTGATACCGCCACTGCAAAGGTCCGACGGTGGGAATAGTCCACGGTGTATACATAAGCGACCGGGATTGAAGATGCGTAGCGCTTATAAAGCGATGGAGCTTTGGCTGTTCTAAGGTCGGTAATATGGGTTATATGGATGCCTTTCTGTAATGATGGTGTGTATAGACAGATGTTAATGCATACGGGCGTTAAATTTTGTGGGGGTGGTACAATCCTCATGAATGAGGACAATATTGAGGCGCTCAAGGAGCGGCCTTTCTGGTTCGGACTGGTAAAGGCAGGTTTAATTGCTTATGAGGTACGCTTAAACTAATTCATTAATCGTGATATGCACACGTAACTGCAGTAGTTCGCTCGTAGCTGTACTTTTAGGAAAGCGAATAGTAGTTTCATATACCATGTGGATGAGCGGATCTATCTGATCTCTCTCAGGAGATGAAAGGGGGAGATGAGGGAGGGAGTAATAAGTAATTTTAGAAAGACAGCATGCTTGGATAAGGCGGCGGCTCGTGTCGGCTTCATTCATGTCCTCGTGGGGATTAGAAATACTCCTTACGAGGATGGATGTACTTTGCACCAACCTCCATGTCACACTTGCACCTGTGTAAATGGGGCTGTTATTGGAAGTGTGGAAGTTTACAACTCTGATGTGGTTTACCTGATGAATGGGTTGATCATGCAAGTATATTGATTCAGCCGGAGACGGAGAGTCTTTAGGACGAATGAGAATAAGTTATTATTTTAAATAGCTGGACATCTGATGCGGGTGCTCTGGGGGTGTTCTTAGACCGTTTTAATTCTTATTTGGAGGGTGTATTCTATTGTGCCACAGTTGCCCGTAGTCTTGCAAAGTCTGAATTTAGCGGCGTATAGTGAGTGTTGCGGGGCCGGCATAGTCAATAATTTTAGCGCCTGATGGATTAGAGTTATAATTAAAAAGAAAATAGAACGTCCTTTTGAAAAATCTTTAGATATACACACTTCATGAAACTGGCGTGCATGATGGTTCCTGACTACTGCTTTTGCCAAAAGATCTTGTAGTTACCTCTTTGATAGCCGCCCATAAATGATCAGGCATGTAGAATGAGTGACTGCCTCTTCGTGCTTTCCACTTTTGGTCTGTCTTGAAGTCGTTTGTTTCCTTCCGACATTGCTCAGACATGCACTGAGAACCGAAGTCAGGCTAGCAGAGAAAAGAAGCGATGCGCGGGTGTCCGATTACACCAACGCAACCTACCCTTTGAGGTGAAGCCTAAGTGTCCTCCAAGTTATTCAAAGATAGTACTTGTGTATGAACAAGGTATTTTACTTCGGCGAGTAAAACTAGGCATATAGCCCTGAGTGTCACCTTTTTTATAGTACGTATGTTTATTCGTAGTCCCTGCTTGACATAGCGGATATTTTCATCATCAATTTTGAGCTATGTTCGACGATGCACGAATGACCACCAGACTCACAAATACACGTCATAAATTTGTGAGCTAATTTCTTTTTGCTTCAGATGTTTAAGAGCTGTTTCGGCTGATACATTGTCATGGGATGGGTATGCGAGGCGCTACTGGCTGCCAAAGTTTAGAATAGACGTTAGGACAAATAAACAACCTTTATTGAGGGTCTTCGGAACGCGTTTGAGCACGAGTGGACCGATCCAACATTGGAACATAGATGTCAAGCCTTTCTACTGAAGGATGGGCCCATTGGACTGCCCATAGTTTTTCTTCCAGACCAGGATAATTATTATCAGCTTCCAGATGGACGGCGAGATGCCTTGACCACAGTGTAACGTGTGGCATCACAAGATCATATGCTTTGAGTTTGCTAAATGCGTGGAGGCAATATTTGGCTGCATCTCTTGATAAATCATGTGTCATGGTGCGGCGTTAGGGTACACCCCAACGCGAAGTAGTTTGAGTGTCATAGCCTGTGGTCCGGGTTGACTTTTCGTATGACGAAGGTTACTCTCTCCACTCAAGTAAAACATATTCATCCGGACCAACGTTTAGGACGTCACAACGAAATACAACTGCCAGATCTTGATGTTAGCAGTGAGTGTTTAGGAAACTACGTTCCAGCTGCGCACTGCTCTTGATCAACCATGGTGTCCTACCTGGACAGAGTCTTCTCGGTACACGAGGCAGAGTCATAATTAACAATCGTAACTGTCCTTGAGTGCCTGCTTGAGTAGTTGAGGGTCAGGTTGACCATCTGTTGGCTGCCATCATGGCGCCTCAACGTGCCTCTGCGACAGAAGCAGGGCAGAATTTTGAGGATTGATCCCACAAAACCGTGCGATTCCCGAAGCTGCCTCTTTTCGAAATAGAGGAATATGTACGGGTTGATGGCACTGTTGGAGGCCGAGATGACGCCGAACAACGCCACCAGGTTGGCATCTAGGATTCCGGGTCGTCCCAGAGCGAGGATGACCTCCTGGACCATGTACGGCACGTTGGTCACCAGGAAAGCACCGAACACCACCGCCGTCAATTTGAGCGTCTTGACCTGCATGAAGAACGCAAGCTGAGAATTATCAAGACGCAGGTACAGAGAGTGAGAGAGCGAGAGAACATTTGAAATCGAGGAGGTTAACAAAACAATATCTGCTGTTGTCTACCGGGCATATTGAAAAAAAAAGTCTCAAACAAGACGAGTTAAGAGGAGTCTATAAACGCCTCATGAACTCCCGATGAATTTTTTCGTGCCAGTATGACACGCTGTTACAAATCAGTACACCACCATTCAGCTTGGGCATGCCCAAGCTTGAAGGCTGAACGTTGCCCCTTCTTATGCAGAATACTGTCAATCCCGTGATGGGATTATTACAGGAGTGGCGTCACATTGTTCATAGTTAAAACAAGCAATACACAGACTAAATATACATCCTGCAAGCACTTGAAATTCGAAGCGAATATCTCAAACATATTGCAAAATTCGCCGTAGTGATAGGCAAAGGGTCTTTATGAATAAAAATATCAGATGAAATGCTGGGGCAAGGAAAAAACAAATACAAAACGAATTGTACAGACAGAGTTAAAACTTTCGACATCATCGATTCAGGAAATCACTGCTAAATAAAAGACAGCACACATTCACTCGCTCGATTAACAAATTCGTCAACTGTCGGCTGTGTCAACACGGTGGGGTGCAGGGCATTCCAAGCGCGCATGGCTCGCGGAAAAAAAGAGTGGCCAAAAACATTGTTCTTGAAGGGATACTCATCAAGTGTGTGACAATGTTTATTTGCTGTTTGGCACTTACTGTTAACCTTAACATAATTAGCCGGATTTATTTTCAAAGAGTTGTGTAGCACCAGATACAAAAATCTCAGGCTATGAAGCTTGGCGCGGCTCGCCAGGGTGGGCAGATCCGCTCTTATCAAAAGAGCAGTAGGTGAGTCGGTACACCTCACGGTTATAGATAAGACGGACTGCTTTACGTTGTATTCTTTCAAGCGCGGCTACACTACTCTCTGGCTTCCGTTACAGTGTCCATCGGAGGCATGACAGCTGACACCATGAAACAATAATTTATACACATTAAGAGCTTGCATCACTGATGCAGTTGGCAGACTTTCAACAGTATAAATTAATTCAGGTTTCTGCCACATTAAATTGAACGACAGCATTCGATACTTCAGCTATCAGGTCATAATGACATGCCCTTTCAAAGGAACCATTTGTCATGGCCGTTAGGAACAATGAATTGCGCGATTCCGACGCAGCGTTAGTTCCTTGGAGATGTGATACCAGGTACAGTGGAGAGTTTTTTTTTCACGGTGCAATCATTTTATGCGTATGCTCTTCGATCTGTCTTTGTTCGTGTCACCAACGGGTCGGTAAAAACTGTGAAACTACCTCACACTCACCCATTATTATATTTGAGCTTCCGGGCTCACTCGGATCAAAACATTTCTGAAGCGGACTCACTCGGACTATGACTCACTAAGATGTTTCTGAATCGGACACACTTGAACTCACGAAAGTATGAATCACTCGGACTCGCTCAGACTCAGATTCACGACTTGAACTGAGTCTGAGTGAGTGGACTCATGAGTCTTTTAGCGTACTTGTTTCAAAGCCATTTATAACCAGTATCTCACATAATGGTGCTCTGCATTGCACCTTTTATTCTTATACCTTCTTGTACGAGTTAGTGATTCTAATTGATGATTTGATTGATTGATATGTGGGTTTACCGTCCCAAAACCACCGTATGAACATGAGAGACACCGAAGTGTAGCGCCCCGGAAATCTCGACCACCTGGGGTTCTTCATCGTGCACCCAAATCTGGGCCTACAACATTTCCGCCTCCATCGGAAATGCAGCCGCCACAGCAGGGATTTGATCCCGCGACCTGCGGGTCAGCAGCCGAGTACCTTAGCCACTAGACCACCCCGGTGGAGCAATGCTTCTAATTGAGTCGGGATATTTTTATGAAAAACTTTCTTCAAAGAGATATCGCACGAAGTTCGATACACCCTCACCCTCTCCTTGTAACTCACGCTTCACATCAATAAATATTGATCTGATGTATGGACGCTATAGCATTGATGTATGTGTGAGCAGGTGTAAGTATAAACATGAGTCGACGTAGGACTGTTAGAACGCTGAATTTGAGCAAACAAAAACCTATGGGGCGGTTAAATTTGTGGAGCTCACTCAGCCTCGCTCAAAAAAAAAAACATATTTTCCTTTTACTGTCACTCAGACTCAACAAATTTTTTCTCAGCCGTACTCAGTTGGACTCTGACTAGCTGAAACGTTAGGTATACTAATCCGGACTCACTCAAACTGAGATTCACTGCTCAATGTAACTCCGTGTGAGTCGTGTCATGAAAAACTCTGCTTACCGAATGGTATCAACTGAAGCTCTTTTAAAAAATCATGAAAAACCAGTAAAACTGCAAAACTACAAAAATAATATAATAATAAAAACCCACCATCTATAGCTGCAATTCCTGCCCCCGAAAGTGGGTGTTCTACCAGTGTGTCATCTGGGTGGAGCTACCAGAAGCTCTTAAACGACGACACCTTGCAGGCTACCAAATGAAAGCGCCACAAGTGGTCTGACTCTATATGGGTAGAGTGTAGTATGGGCTTCATTTTTCTAAGATCGTTTCGAGCCCTCCGCTGTTCTAGTATACTATAACGTGCATATAAATGCGTGCAGTGAAATGGTAGATTAAAGGCACACATGCGCAATATCTTTTTTCAAAGTGCAAACTGTATTCTTTTCATTTAGTACGTGGAAGGTCCCGTACCTCAATTGAAATGATTACAAGAAGCCCTCAAACCACTATGTGCGTAATTGTAGGCTGTCTGATGCTTCGTTAGAATCCCTACCCCTTTTTGGTTGGGGAACCTGCACCATTAGAAGCAGTTATCACCATCGGGTTAAGATGGCTTACAGAGGCGTACATTGCATGCACTGGGCTATTTTGCAAACTAAATGCGTGGAATAAAGTACATGTTCAAACCGTATGCGAAAAGTAAGAAACGTACATGTTGGTGACTTTTGGTGATAATGTGTGGCCATATGTACATTTACTCTTAACAATGGCCGGCGTTTCGAAGTCACAAAACCACCATACGAGTATTTGAGGTGACGTAGGGGAGGACACTGCAAATTTAGACCATGCGCGCCTGGGGTTTTTTATTGCGCACCTCTAAATCTAAGTACACGAACCTCAAACCCTATGTACAAGGACGTTATGCATCGGCTCAATGAGCTGCTTCTGTGCAGTTTATTTATACGTAACCCTGTACAACTGCAGTAACTAATGGCCTCGGTGGAGTTACCAGTAGCTAATTAAATTGGGCACCGTGCACACACTCGTAGACGCTGCTGTAAAAAAGTAAACTATTCAAACCTGCAATAAATCCAGCGTCCCGAGATCAATGCGATATTTAACAACTTGACTTTACGCCTGCAACTGTCAAAGCATCGACAACTTGTCTGCATGCACTTGTGTAGTTACACCAGTGCAATTACGGCGAGTTAACTTTCGTAGGGGAGATCATGCAGCACAATCGAACAAATCTACTGCAGCTTCGCTGGACTGGCGAAGAAACTAACGCGAAAGCAGCAGACTGGAATACCACACGTAGATAGACTAGCAGCTTTAGGGACAATGTGCTCCGGCTTTGCGCTGTAGAACTACGGGATACTGTCAATAAGCCTCGGCCTTTGAGGCGCATGATGCCTCGCGCGCCGCAGGACGTCGTTCGTGCGTGCGTGCACGCGCTTGTGGACACGATTTTTGTTCCACGCGACTGCCATTTCACCGAAGAATTTTGGCTGGCGTTGCGTTAATAGGCTACGCGTTTGATACGAAGCACGTGAAGAGTGCGCTGATAGGCTGGAGAAAGATCGGCGCGAACTCATAAGTACCGAGGCGGCACGCAGATGAATGCTCTCTATATCATCAGCGACATCTATCGGTCTGCGTGTTCATCTAGCGGTCTGTGGCTCTGAGCCACCACAGAGGCGCTGCTACGATCTTTGCGGACCTCAAGGTCAGATTCACGAAACCCGGTCTTTTGTGGGTTTGTACCTTCCGGATAGGAGCTATGGCTCTAGAGAAGTGCCGGCCCAGCCCACGCTCCCATCCTGCAGGCAAAGCTGTACTGCAGTACTGTCGCTAAAGCACAGGTCAATTAAGAACTACTCTACGCTTTTACTAAGAAAATGCAGAACAACTGGTTCAAGGAGCACATGTCGGTAAAAGAGTTAGCGCTCCGTGGCTGACTGAATGACGCAATGCATGCCCAGGTGAGTGGAAGAAAGAGGAGATCCTGACTTGAAGAAGAAGAATAAAAAAAAAAAGCACTCGACGCTCAAGTGCCGCTCTCACTCGCCCGCTGTACACTCACTGCAACATCACAGATGGTTCTTGCTCAGCATTCTAGTTCGATTTCAGAATTTTTTGCATAACCATTCTCCAGTGGCGTAAATCCGTAAAGATCACTAGGGAGGGCACACATCTTGCAATGGCGGCCATTTTGTTTTGAACATATTTTAGTTTTACATAAAATATAACACGCATTCACTAATAATAATAATAATAATAATAATAATAATAATAATAATAATAATAATAATAATAATAATAATAATAATAATAATAATAATAATAATAATAAGTGGCAACTCGCTCGTATTCGCTCGTAGTGGCGCTCGTATTCTTGGAGCTGCATCATTCGTGTTAAAGCATGCAGTAGCAATGGTAGCACTTGTGCTAGCGCGTAAAGGCATTGCCATCGTGTTCACCAGCTCGAAATATACTTCGTCTATGTTCAGTTAAAGTGCTGCAGGTTTCAGAGTTGGTTTTACGAAATGTGCGTTGTCATTGTTTCAATTGAAATGGACATTCGAAGATAAATCTCGAAGGGGACAATTGCATGAGGTTTCCCCCCTCCCCCACTATCTTGAACGCAGCGGCACTCTGCCGCCCTCCCGCCCTGGCCTCCTCCATTATTTACGCCACTGCTATTTTCATTCTCGGCAAATCAAATTTTGGTAATGCTTTCATCGATTAAGTCGATTGATTGAAAGTCAGACATTCGTAAGAAATAATTGTTTTGTGAGGCTTTGGTGGCTAAGAACTAATTGTTTTGGGTGGCTTGGGTGGCTTGGGTGGCTTTTCATTGATTTTTCTAGTATTCACTCAATGATATAAACATCCCTAGTGGCTGAACCAGAACTAAAATAGCTAGTGTTTGCTATATCGATGAATGTTGGCTGGTAATATTAGCTAAATGGAGGGAAACGCTAGCTAGTGTTGTTACGTGCGGCAGCCAAGTGATGTAATTATGGATAAATGGTACGAGCTCTTTAATAATTGCTAATATATGCAACATCTGTTATTGTTTTCAATTTCCTCGCGCTGTTTCGTTCATCATTCCCACAGAGCAAAGCAGAACGAGCCTAATTTGACCACGCGTGTCTCCTGTCCTTAAACATCGCATAATAAATGCATATATTTTTAGAGTAATAAGCCCTTAAACAAACAAAAAAAAGACGTGTGTCGCTAAACGAATACACATTCAAACTGCGTCTGCGCAGCTGTAACTTCGATATTGATGAGCATTTCCAAAAACGTTTTGATCGAACTCTGCTGAATAAAAGTCATAAACAAAAAGCATCAAATGCGTGGGAGTTGTTGCGCGCTTCATCGGAACTATCGAGTTGCAGTTGTAAATAGGAAAACGGCACTTCGAATGTACGTATAAAGAAATGTCTACAGACAAAAATATTCAAACGGCTCTATTGCACGTGGCGCACCGTCAGCGATCAACGGTAAGCCATATTACGATAAAAAAATAAATGCCACTGTGTAAGGCCCAGCTACACACGAACGTCAGCAAATATGGCGCATCGACTCGACGTTCCTCGCTCCAACCAGCGCCCCTCAATTTCCCGCCCAGCAACGTCCTCCATCACTGTTGCACACTTTGCGATAGTAAGCAAACAGAAATTTTGCGTGGCATCACAGTTGATGACTCAGGAGATCTAGCTGTTGGATGTGCGTAAAGTCCCCAGCGCTCCCGCGGAGGGCTACAGATTGGAGCTGTCGAAAGCACCTGATCGGTGGCCTTGGTGGGAATATGAACAAAACACATATATGGAGAAAACTCGCAGCTCGTCTCAGCATTTCCTTGTGGCGCATATCATAGACGCAGCGGGACACCCATTTCACTTCTTCGGCAGAGCGAGACTTTACCGTTTGCGATCGTGACCGAATGTATTCATAACAAAATGAGTTCAGAACTTCTTGCCAATGGAAGTCACCTGCCTACTGTCTTACTTCGTATGTCAAACTTTTTTCGGTCATGTGCGTCACGGCTATCGACCGATCCATATGCAGCCGGGCATGCGGATATCTAGAGTATAAAGTTGGGCATGTTGGTAAGACATACTTAATCGACGTAGCGCGTTTTGAAACATAGGACAAGGGAAGGGACAAAAGGGAGCGCTTACTTCCAACAAAATTTTATTTCGAGAAGCGTACATATATATGCCCATGAAATTATCTGTTGTTTTCGAATTTCATGAGCATATATAAAAACGCTTCTCGAAATAAAATTTTGTTGGAAGTAAGCGCTCCCTTCTGTCCCTTCCCTTGTCCCATGTTTCAAAACGCGCTACGTCAATTAAGTATGCGGATATCGTAGTGTGCGGATAGATGAGGGTTCGACGACAAGGTGAGAGAGAGAGAGAGAGAAGGAATGTAGGAAAGGTAGGGAGGTTAACTAGACCATACGTCCAGTTTGCTACCGTACACATGGGGAGGGGGAAAGGGGGAGTAAAAGAGAGAGAGAAGGATAGACACATGTCACATCACACACACAATGCCGAGTTTCACAGGCGGTCCCTCAATGAAGTGGCTGCCAAGTATCTCAGGAGGGCTCGTGTGGCTTTCTGTGCTGATGTGCTGCGCGACCAGGCTCCTAAGGTCTTTGCTTCATTAAATGGCCGGTCATCGAGTCTATTCAAGGCACAGCGGAGAGTCCGGCATCTTCATCAAATTGGGCACAGTGGCACAAGAGATGTTCAATAGTCTCTATACAAGGTGAGAATATGTACAGAACATATATAGTTGCCGTTTGTGACTATGCTTAGCGCCAAGATGGCTACTTTGTGACCCCGTCTTGCTATATATAGATCGAAGGATGGCTCCATGACTACCTTCTGGCTACTTTAAACTTCCGCTCTGTCGCCATAGGTAGTCATTGTTCGTGCTACCTGCAGACAAAACAGACTATTTCCAGCCTGTTCTTCCGTATCAGCCCATGCGCGCGCGTCCTCCCCCACCAGCAGGATGGTGCGAATCGAGTCACTTCAGCAAAATACACGGCGAACATGAAATACGAAGTGGCGTACTTACAAACATGTTGGAACGCCTGCAACTAGATCGCCACTTATGCCGCTCGCCACCTATTCAGATTCTAAGCGTAAGTTTCTAAATTCGATGCATGGCACGTGTTCGCGTATGAATTTGATGAAAACAGAAATCTGCAACAAAATTTAGCTATTGACTGTTGATCTGAACCAGATATGACCAGAGGAAGCTCAATCGGTATCATATGAACTCTACTCATTATATTAAATCTCTGGCTTCAAATAAAATCTGCGTCAATATGTAATGTTCGTGATGACTCCTTGACGGGAGTGTTACAGCCTGTATTTGGCGAAATATGTACATATTCTACTAAACTGCATGCATGGCACTCTGAATTCACTGCAATTTCTTGTTTTATTTCCAACCAACTTGTTGCTCTAAGTCCAAGAAAAAGGAAAATGCTTTTTTTTATTTTCATTGTCTTCCATATTTCTAGTGGCATTATTTGCTGAAAAATAACAAAAGCTGTACTCATATTATCACTTCTCTTCGACTTGGCTATACCAAGGCCGCTGGATCAAAGCGCACAGGTGTTTTCATTCAGCGATCGTGGCTATACCTTCGCAATAGAATTCAATGACATGGCTACTTTGGTTGCTTTTGGCCTGAGTTCAGGCTACTTTTCAACCCAACACAACGGCAATTCTGACATTGAAGGTCATAGTTATCAAATACCACTTATGTCTAGTGTGTGGGAAAACGTTGATTTCTTCACGATTGTGGCGCGATGTTAACTACAGGATTGCATTATCAATTCTGCCAACTCGACGTACGCTAAACGTGCTTGGGTGCTTCCTAGACAGAGAAATTATTCAGCTTTTGCAGCGTCCAGATATTCCCCAACCCTCTAGCCTTAAGCCTAAACACGGGACAACTGCGAACGTGCCTGCATGTGCAGGGGCCTTGTACATGAAATGGGACTGCGGTGAAGCGAATTCCACCTGCGTCTCCAAAGAAGCCATCTTGGACACAGATCCGCATTCGACCCGCATGAGATTTGAAACCCGAGTGAAGCTATGAATCCAGGGTCGGCCTGAGTCTCAGAGACTAGATTAATGAGTAAGTTTGTCAAGATACACCCACTGAGTCCATTTGAAGAGTAAGCTACAAACACTTACCGTAGAACGCAGTTGACGTCTGAAATAAGGTGCAGTAGTTCTATTCAGGACTTTATACATATTTCACCCGCCAGTAAATATATTCCCACGTTTGAATGTCTCTCTGCAGTATGATGTCCTGGTTTTATTTTAAGCTTGTCGTGCATCGAGACGTATTGCTCAAGTTAGGTCACTCACCTTAGCTCGGGGCAACGTAGAAGCAGTCTGCTGCCCCACTTTTCCGCTGGCCGAGCTGTGCCTCCATATGGCCCACAGTATTCCCGTGTAAAATGTCACCAAAAGCACAAGAGGTGCGATAAACACCATGATGAACACGAATGCCATGTATATCTGGCGGTGGTAGAGCGGTGTGCCACGCTCGTAGAAGATAGACGCGCAGAAACACTGTCCGGGCAGCACTTCGACGGTGTGGAACACGTAGACATTCGGCAGCGACGGTATGCACGAAGCTACCCACGTGATGGCCGCCAGCTTCCATGGGTCAGGACTGGGAGCCAGTGGTGTCGTAACGGCGATGTGCCTGTCCACCGCGATCGTAACCAGCATGTAGGTCGAGGAGACTAGTGCGAACGTCTGCAGGAACTTGAAGAAGCGGCAGAAAAAATCGCCCGCAATCCACAGTCGGCCCATCACCTCCCACACCACCTGCGAGGTCATCGTGACGCAAGCAACGAGAAGGTCCGCTATGGCCAAGTTCAGGAACAGCACTCGCGCTTTTGAGATTCGCCGGTGGCGTCGCTGCACGACGAGCTTCCAGCAGACGACGCTGTTGCCGATGACGGATGTGACGATCATGATGATTATGATGGCTATGCGGACGCGCTTGTGGTAACGGGGACCCATGATGTCACCTTCGAGCCCTTCATCATCGACGACACCTGTGATGTTCTCGGCGTTGAGCAATAGGCAGGTATGATTCTGGAAATCGTGTTGAGTACTAACGCTGTCAGTCGATGATGCTGCCATAATAGCGCAGCCCAGGCCCTCTGGCAGCGTTCCTTCATATTCCCAGTCGTCTGTTCATCCTCACATTTGTGTTGTGTGTGTAAGGACTGCCATTTTCCTTGCCGGGCTTCAAAAAACACCGTTTGGCCTTTTTTTCTTTATTTGCAGCCTTTAAGTAAAGAGTCTCGAATCATCTCCGTTTCAGATTCCCCGGTGACGACACTGTAACATAACAAGCAAAAACTCTGAGCATTTCGTGTTACACACAAATTGTGCTTTGATAAAAAATTGAAGTTGGGCAGCAGAAAGCGACCGTTATTCTGTTTTATGTCCGGCATATTTTTGGATCCATAACTTTCTAACGCGTGAAATGCCTCGGTTGCCCTTTGTGTTTCACAGCAAGCAGTAACAACAAGGAAAGCTACTTGTTGATTCGGAAACATCTTCGCATCAGTTGACTCTTACGTTAGACCTAAGAGTTCACGCAAATCTCGCGCAACGTAGGCGAAGCTGATAATAATTAATGATCATGAACTATCACAAGAATCACTCAAATATGACAAACATTACCATGTTTTTTAAAGTTTTTATTGCCGTAGCGTGAATGTGGTTTGCTTGAAGATTTGGCGAAAGTTGGCAGAAACTCCAACGTTGAGTTGACGAACCACAAGAATGATGTGAACGACGTGCTACTGCTAAATTTTTTTTGTCCCAGTTTCCCAGATTGATAAATAAGCCTTTCTGCCATGACTTACCATTGAACTATACTAAGACTTCTGCGTAGCTTTTGTACACTTCACACATGTAGCAATTCTCAGTTCATTTGAAGCAGTCACAGTGAAAACTCACGCCATCGAAAGGGCATCAGGGAGACAGGTGGGATACGGTAGGCTACTTGAGCTGACTGAAACACTGAATGTGTTTTTCTCTATCTTTTTTTCGCGTTTTATACAGTTGGATCTGGCCACGAAAATGGCCTTTAGACATGAACGAAACTGTGGTAAACAAACTAATTCGACATAAGAATGGTAGGCGCAGTTTTACGAAAGAAACGGCTGTCTACTTTAAACCCCGGCGCTTGATCCTCTGAGAAAGATGCGATTGTCACGGTCAAAGCGCGTGCGATAGTCATCTGTCCCGAACAGTGTCGTAAGCCGGGTGATCAAACACGGTATAATTTATTCGCATGTGCTTGCAATCTTTTGTTTTTCTTTTAGCAGAGAAAGTGCTTTAGCTCACTATAAAACGTGGCAAACCAAAAATTTATTATCATAGTGAACCAGCACAAGTTCTCTTCGTGCTGTTCTTTTTTATTCTACTTTGCTCCCAGGATAGCTGCGCCGATTCGTCCGGCGTCTAGCAAGCGGGAAGCACAAAGCGAAGGAGAGGTGTGAAGGTAAAGCGGTGGGCCAAAAAAAGAAAAAAGGAAGAAAACTGGAAGCAGAAAGAAATGCGCAAAGAAAGAGAAAGTTCTGATAATCAATTTAACGTGAGGTGGCGCAATTCGAATCCGCGTAGGCCCACGAGCCCGTGTGCTCAGATTTGTGTGCACGTTAAAGAGCCCCAGGTGGCCGAAATTTTTGGAGCCCTCCACTACGGCGTCTCTCATAATCATATAGTGGTTTTGGGACGTTAAACCCCACAAATCAATCAAATCAATATGCCCGCAATTCAATGGCCACCATATTATTCACAAGTCTATCCAGCTTAGTTTTTTATTTTGTTTTCTGGACTTGGCTCTCAAGGCACGCTGACATAACCTCGAATAGTGTCGTATAGGGATGGTTATAAAAGGGAAGTGAGGGCGCAAATGAGAAAAGAAAAAAGAGTGAGAGTAAAGAATAGCTTATAAAGAATCAGAAAGGCAGAAGCAGAGAGAAAGAATTGCATAAGAAATGAGAAGTAAAAAAGAAAGTAAAGAAGAAATGAACAAGAACGACCTTAGAAAAAAGACGCAAGCGAATGATAGAGAGAGAGCGAGGCAGAGATAGGAACGAAAGATAAAAAAATTAAAGAGAAGAACAGAGACGAAGAGAAATGGAAACAAACAGAGACAAAAAAAAAAGACGTAACGCATAGAGGCGAGAGGAAATAACAAGAGGGAGAAAGAAAGAAAAAAAACTAAGAAGAAACAAAAAAGGCTGCCCAGCTCTTTCGAGATACACGAAGAAATATATAAATAGGTTGTCCAGTGAGCTGCAACGCGCATGTTCTTCGCTAAGCCAAGCTTTGCGGGACTCAGTGCAAACTTTCCACGTTTTGTACTTAACAGTGCATCTGTTGAAGCCCGTCGTAAAAACTTGACTCTGTTCAAATGTGTACAAAACTATGATCATCCTCCTGACCAGGTACGTGCCCCAGAACACTGACGTATTCAGGGGCTGCCACACTGGTCCCGTGCCCCCCCCCCCCCCCCCTTCCCGAATATTTTTCGGCATCTCATAAAGAGCGAAAAATGCCCATTTCAAAAGGTGCCTCCTCCACCGCACCCCCAATAAAGAAATTCTCCCTACACCCTTACCACAGAAATTGGGCAAATACTGCTTATCACTGCTGGTTCACTAAAAATGAAAGAAGTAGCCGATGAGCGGCAAGCATGAATTAAGGTTTTCACACTGACGTAACCAGTAATTGAGGAGGAATTTCAATAAACTGTCCAAGTTACCGCAGCGATAAACACAGTGGCCACACGTTCCAGCTTCGCTCAAGGATCTGGACAGAGAGCTTTAGCGGCATAAAACGATATCTTATATATCTAGGTGAACGTAAAAGCCAGCGACAGATTCCAGGAGACCCCGAAGGAATGGAAATCTTGCACAAACATCGACGTGTGCCTGCACCTATGCAAAACGAGAACGCTCGGTTTCAGCGCTGGTTCCTCTCTATGTAGTTTGCACATCCGTGTAGTTTATGTAGCTCACTCCGGTTGAACCTGAACCTCCCCGCGCTGAGAAGCAACCGACAGAAACGACCTATAGCATTAACTAGCTAAGACCTAGAAGCAACCTAGGGCGACTTAGTTTCACCTAGCTAAAGCATAGCGGCAAACCTAGAAGCAACAACACTGGGTTTTATAACTGTCCAGCTTCAGAGTTTCAAGCCTCGTGTGACTAAGTGCAAGTTTCGTAATTTTTCATTTACTTCTAATAGAACTAGCCCATAACTTCTTTATGAACAGCCTCTATTACGGTGAGCAGAAAGTGATATTCAGGAAACTCTCAAATTGTGTGACCTTGGCATGTTGAGTCAACCAAAGAGACTGCGGCAGCCCTACAAGCCAATAATAGCGTAATATGTGGTTTGTCTCTCAAGTCTATGCAACAAGATTTGGCGAGCTGCAGAAAGTACTCATGTGAATTCAGTCGATCCATAATTAGAGATTCAGATTGATTTGTACAACAATTGATCAAACTGAGTTGTACAACAGGACCATCACGACTATGTCGGCCTCTGTGTGGACGTGTGCGTTGGTCGCGGGCGAGATTGTACCCGCTTGGACTCGGCCATTTGTTCGCGCTTACGTGTAAGCTTATGCAGCTAGGCCTCCATGCGCGAGAGCACATGCTTTATATCTGAGCAGAAGGAATAAACATATTTTATTTAAATAGCAAACTGAGGTTTCCGTGGGTAGAGCCCTTATTCCAGGGCCCCACTGGGCCCAGCGGATCGCTTGGCCTGGTCTAAAGTTGCCCTCTGGCTTCCCAGGTCCTGCCGGGTGAGTCGCACCTCCCACGACCTTTCAAATTTGTTTCGCGTGACCAGGGGTGTTGCGAACGACGGACCGATCCCACCGCTGCCACCACTGTTGCGAAACGGCGGGCCTATCCCGCCGCTGACCTCCACTGTTGCGAACGACGGACCGATCCCGCCGAAGCCACCACTGTTGCGAAAGACGGCGACGCCGACGCGGTCCCGGAGGCGCCACTGCTTCCGACCCCGCCGGGAAGGTCACCAGCCGTTTGGTAGCGTATGTTTCTCAGCTCGCGACTGCTTCTGCGCAGAGCTGAGGAGACGAGCGGACGAGACGACGGTGAGTTAAACAAGGTTTATGTACAGCATATATACAGAGGCGTTACAATTTCGGCACTGGGGCCGGCAGAGACTCGAAGAGCCGAGCTCCTCTCTCTAACACATAGGTCAGCCTTTCGCCTAAAACCGCTGACTCGCATACATGTCGGCCCTCCGACATGGGGTCTCCTCGCTCATAGGAACGCCGATCGCGACGCGCCGCAGGGCTTCTTTTATTTGCACCGGGTCCAACCAAAGTGTCCAATCAGAAGCGCCGCGGGTCGTCCGAGCAGATTCCGCCAATGGGGGGTCGCCGCGCCATGCGTCAGACCACCAGGCACGAGAACGCCGGCTCGCTGTCACGTGCGCCGATGACTCAATGCACGTGGGCGAGAGAGGCGCCGCGCGTGTTCACGCCGTTGAGATGTTCGCGTCGGGCAGACGGCGGGCTGGCCTTGACCCAGATTGCCTTTTTCAGAGGCACGGTCGTTTGACGAGGACTCGCTGGCATAACAGCACCCCCGCCGCCAGACAATGCACCGGAAAGACGAGCTGCTTCCACGGGGCTCGGATGTCAGGTGCGCTCGTTCGCCTGGTCCCTCCAGGTTCGCCTCCAGGGCCATGGGGAGAATACAGCTCCAGACTGGTCCGGGAACACATCCCATTTTTGACGACGGATCCCAGCTCCACTGGCTTGTCGCCACAACTTGCTGACCAGCTTCACTCGTCTCTTCTGACCATCTTCGGGTTCAGCACTTGTCGATGGTTCTGCAACTTGCTAAGAACGGTTCGACAACAGACAACACACGACACAAGCAAGTGCCCTCGGTCACCCGACAGAACACCAGACAAAGTATAGTACAACATATACCTATCTACGTGTCTATCGGAATTTTGTTCCCTCTACATCAAGAAGCACATGTGGGACAAAAGACCCCTAAAATGACAACTCAATTTTTTTTTTCACGTACAACAACGTAACGGATTAGAATACCACATAAAGTTGGCCCCTT